ATTAGTAAAATGGAGATAAAATGAGCAAACTGGATTGTTTCTTGGTTTCTATGCAGTTGATGGACACTTTTTATGATATTTTGATTAGTGCTTTTGAAAGGCCTCTCTCTAATCATCGTCTTATTCTTTTTAAAAATGTAAATTTGTACTATGGCATTTACTCATTTAATTTGTCTAAATCCTATATTGATTTAGATGGTTTTAATGAAAGTGGTTTGAAGCAACTAGTCAGGTGTTGATAATGATGTACATACTAATAAATTTATTGCTTTTAATGATAAATTAAAATGTTGAAAGGGAAAGACAAAACAATGGTATGCATATTACAATAAGAAAAAAGGAGACAAAGATGTGATTAGTTCCATATTGTGTGAGATCGACACCATGATTGATGGTGGTCTCAGTTCTCTTGATATTGTCGAGGAAATGAGAGGCCTTATGAAGCGATTGAATGACATTGAAAAGATTGAGTTGTTGGATATTTCGTAGAAACCTAAAATTAAATGAGCTATAAAAGGTGACGAGACCTATAAGTACTACTATTAAATTCTTAAAGAGAAAAATTGTGTCATATGGCGAGTGATGGAGTCAAATAAGAGGGTTCGATGTGGGCAATGTCCGCAGTCGTTTTTGTGAGGTGGCACCCTAAAAACACCGTAACCATGGGGGAATACCGCCCCGGCCTCCCTTTTTTTGGTGTTACGTTGTTTCCCGTGGTACTGGTAACGAAGGGCAACGTCCGTTTTGTTTTCTTCCTTCCACTGTTTTTCTGCTTTTATTCTTCCTCCTCAACGCCATTCCAAAAAATAACATCATCCCCTTGGAGATGTTATGGAGAAAAGATGATGAATTGACATCCTAAAAACGTCGGTGAGTGTTGCCCACACCGGGCGGCCTAAAAGGATATTGGATCACAAGTCCTAGAAAAGTGAAATTTGACTTTTTGAACTTCTATAAAGAAAACTTTTATCGATTTGTGGGTGGTCGTATACATAGCCGAAGTGACAGGATTAATGTTCTCGAAATGTAGACTACTTTGAAGATGCTTTTCGTAAGCTCACGTTTTCTCGTGCACATCCTCCTGATTTATGATATTTGATTTTGGGACACTCTGATATGTGATTTGGAAACAATGTTTTGTAAACAATTATGGTTTTTGGTTAGATTTAAAAAATGAACATTTTATCTTGATTTTTGGAATATTACAAATGGTAACTCTTCCTTCATCAAAACTCATTCTTTAATGGTGAAACAGGTGATTGTGGAAATGTTTGAAAGAAAAATTGAAGTCCAAATTCTTGAAGAACACAAAGAGGCCACCATATCATTCTCTTCTTCCTTTGTTATTCTTTAAGAATGCATTCTCATAAGAATGTATTTGATTTTTTTTTTATATTTCTTTTCATAAATGTGTCATCTTTTGATGTAATTCTTCTAAGGATTTATCAATTTTTTATGTAATTCTTTCAAGATTATGTTGGTTTTTTATGTAATTGTTTCAGAGATGTATCAATTTTAAAAAACGGTTATTAATAAGCTTTTTTTGATGTAATCAATTCAAGAATCATGAGTTCACACAAGTAAATAGAGACGATATTTTATATTGTGTTTTGATGTAAAAAAATTCTATGTTCCAAACTATTATTTGAAAAATGACACCATTTCATTCCTTATAATTTTAAGAATGAAAATTGTATCCTCTAATAAAATTTCAAAATGTAATTAATACTTTAACTAATGTGTTTGTAAATTTTCTGAAGTTTGGTTTAAACCTGATAAAAAAAGTCAAACATGTGTCATAAAATTTAAAATTTCCTAATATAAAAATACATAAAATGTCCACAATACTTTTTCAGACATTTTATTTGAATAAAATATATAATAATTTTGTTTTTTCATTCTCTCAGAAATCATTCTGATTTTCATTAATTCAATGGTTAGGATCGAGTTACACGGTTACACAATACTTAGTAGTTAGAAATCAACCTATCACTATATATATATATATATATATATATATATATATATATATATATATATATATATATATAACTTATTAAAAATCAATTTTATTAAATGTTTCATTATGCATAGTTCCCGAGTTTAAGCAAAGAAAAGAAAAGAAGAGAAAAGAAAGCAATGAGAGAAAATAAGAGAAAAGAAAGGGAAATAAATTTATCTTTTGTGTTCCCGAGTTTGAGAGAAGTGGAAGGAAAATTAATAATTTTGTTATTTCTTTCCAAATCCTTTGAAACCGGAAGGAAATTTAGGAGGGAAAGTGATCCTTCCATTTCCCCACTTCATTTCTTTAATGAAGCTCGGGAACACCAATTTATTTTACTATCTTCTCAATTCCAGTAATTTCATTTCTTTTCTCTCGTTAAGTTGAACTCAAGAACGAGGTGTTAGGTTACCGAGGCATGCTCGCGTGGGGTATTGAACAGTTTAGGGTATTGTACACTTTAGCAATTAGCACATGGTTTTGGTGTGTGTCACCTCGATTAAGTTGCAATCTACAACAAATAGCGAGGACCTTCACATAGCAAAACTGCAAGACCAGTGGTGTGACCATCTTTAAAACCTTTCATTCAAGAAAACCTAACTTTTACATTCCAATCATAGAACTCCAAGTGGTGTCGTTGTGGGCGTTTATATTTTGAAATTGATTCCCATGGAGGTTCCATCACAAAATGCCATCAGGTACATTTATTTGTAATCTGATTTTATTGTTCTTTGATTTGAGACCAGTTTAACACATTGAATGGTCGATGCCCTCAACAAGTTAGCTTCGACATCATTCCATCACCTGGCCAAGAAGGTCCTGTTGGAAATTCTCCCGGAAAGAAGCATTGATAACAAACAGGTCGACATTGTCACAACAGCTCCAAATTGGACAACGCCCTTTATAGATTATCTGTTGCACATGATCCTTCCATACGACCCTACAGAGGCCAGGAGGATCAAGATTAAAGTGCCACCGTTCGCTATAATGGATAAGCAATTGTATATGAGGGGATGCTTAGAACCATGGCCGAAGTGCATAGCAAGCGTCGGGGGACAGTCGCTTTTGGAAGAAAGCCATGCAGGGGAAGTCGGAGCACATGAAGGCGCACGAGCACTCACTGGAAAAATCCTTCGCCTTAGGGTATATTGGTTAGACATCTACAAGAATGCAGCCAAACTCACCAAAAAGTGTCTGGAGTGTCGGGCTTTCGCCCCCTCTATAACCAACCCGCCATGCCACTCACCAGCCTCAGTAGCCCCTGGACCTTTCATCAATGTGGCATAGACATTGTTGGTCTGTTTCCTGTCTCCCTAGGCGGAGCTAAGTTCCTTTTGGTCGTTATTGACTATTTCATCAAGTGGATCGAAGCCGAGCCCCTGACCACCGTTACAGGGAGACAAATGATAAAATTCATGTGGAAAAGCATCCTCACAAGATTTGGTACTCCAAGGGTCATGGTCAGAGACAATGGCACTGAATTCGAAGGAAGCCCCTTCAAAGAGTGGTGTGAAGAAAAACAGATCCATCGTTGGTTTACCTCAGTAGCACACCCCTAGGCTAACGGCCAGACTGAGATATTGAACAAGATCATTGTTAATGGCCTTAAAAAGCACCTAATGAGGTGTAAAGGGGTCTGGGTATAATAATTCCCCATGGTGCTCTGGTCGTATCGCACGACCCCGAGATCCAACACTGGGGAAAGACCATTCAGCTTGACGTATGGCACAGAAGCAGTTCTTCCACTTGAGATCTTGACAGGATCGATGCGTGTAACGAACTTCGAAGAAAATGCCGATGAAACTGAGAAACGTCAAGACCTAGACACGCTCAACGAAAAATGTGAAGCCACTCAGCTCCGCCAAGCAGCTTACAAAGCACGCGGCGAAAACTACTACAATTGACGAGTGCGAGTGAAGAACTTCAAGGTAGGCGAATGGGTATTGAAAAAGAATGAGTCCAACCATACACAACCCCAAGGGAAACTAAGTGTCACCTGGGAAGGCCCGTACAAGATCGTAGAAACACATCGAAACAAAGAATATGTTCTAGAAGCACAAGATGGGAGGCCCATTCCCCGAACCTGGAACGCGCAAAGTTTGCGCCACTTTTAGTCCTAGAACAAGGAGAAAAGGCAGAACAAGGCACACCGAGGGAAAGGGCAATGTGATCTAACTCAAAGCAGATAATCAAAACCCTCCAAGTAGCTCTAGTTTCTAGGGCCACTTTTGTGCCAATATTTAGTCCTGTTATTCTCATTTGACAAAGTTGATGTCTCAAAAGTATTATCAATAGAATGAAGAAAATTGACTATTTAAAAAAAACAAACAATTCAGATGTTTATTAATATCCAAGCTACCACTTCAATAAGCGGCTGTATACATTTACCAAGTGGCAATAAGGACTGATCATCCACGTCACTTGAGCGAAATCGATGCGAGAATGCAACCATAGGCTTTAAAGGCTCATAACCTTTCCCTAAACATGTCAATCTAATTCAAAGTATTGTTACCCTTGCCTATGAAATGAACAAAGGCTTTAAAGGCTCATAACCTTTCCCTTAATACAAAAATACCTAAGTTCTAAATGCCTCGAGATGACAATTTCAGCTCAACTTAGATGACCAAGGCCAGAATGCAAACCTCTTAGGCCAAAGACTTATAACAAAGTCTCGAAAAGGTAACCTCAAAGGAATACCTTAATAAAAAAGGACCAACTAAGGTTCACGATAAAAGGATAGCCAAATCCTTGACCCAAGAATATAGGTTCATGACTCTAAAGATGGACGAGGCCTGAGCTTACTAGAGCGAGCCCTCGGGCTAAAGCCAAAACATCATGGCTTAGAACAAACAACCCTTATTAACCAGAAAAGAACATACCTTGGGTCCCAAAAACTTGCCAAACGAATGGGAATCACACTCGACAAATTCCTAAGGCAAACATCAAAGGTTTTTGGTACAAAAAAAAGCATGACCACCCCAAAGGCCAACACTAACCTTTAGGAAGAATCTAAACCCAGAATGGCCAACACAAACCACCTGGGATGACGAGTAAAGAAACCTTGAACAAAAAAGCAACCATAACATAAGCACCACAAAGAGAAAAGAGTTTATTATTCGACGGACATCACTCGGACTTAGACAACAGACACGCAGGGCCAAAAGCAAACCAAATATTGTTCAAACTTGTTTCTTAGAATGTCAAACAAAAGAGGAAGGATCACTTACCAAGATGATTGGAGGCAGGCTCGAATTTGGAGGAGCTACCTTCAGGTTGGTTATCTTCAGCGTCATAATCGTTGCATAACCGGCGGAGGCCTTCCATATCAAGCTCACCAAGATGAAGGTATAAGGCAAAGTATGTTTCCATGAAGGATTTCACAAAAGTGTGCATCGTCTGGGTATGTTCAACAACAACACTTGGCTCTCCGGGCGTAAACTTCCCGGTGGCAACTTGCTCCCAAATGACTTATTTGCCACCCTCTATATCGGCGGCCATGCACACCGCCTTCATCCGTCTCACCCCCAGGGAGAACTCAGAGCTCTCCACCATCTGGTCCACTACACTGACAGCACCCTTCTGGAGGAGCCAAACCACATCCTCCTTTAAATCTTTCCTCTTCGACTATTCTGCAGCCAATTGCTCACCCTACAGCTTCGCCCTCCTCTCCAATGTCTCTACCTCTGCCTTAAAGCCCTGCACCTGCTATTACAGGTGCTCTGTAACGCCCGTAGATCAGGGCTAGTCAATTTAGCGGCAATGAACGTCAAAAATGACTTTTTGATGGAAGATTATTTAGAAAGAGTAATCTTAATTAAGTTGTAGTATATGTTACGAGGTTTCCGAACATATAAAGAACGCCGAAATCCGAGTTATAACGAAGAAGTTATGACCTGTCGAAGTTTCGCGACAGAACTCGCACGACACAGCGCGACGTAAATAGTGAATTTATGTTAGAACGATATTTAGCCTTAGTGATCTAAACGAAAGTCGTAGAATACGATAAGCCAAGAGCGTGCATAAAAAGAACGTCCAAATCTGACTTCGTATGAAGAAGTTATGATTTTTCTAAGTTTCGACTTAGCGGTATGCGGCCCAAAGTTCGGATCTGAGATCGAGTGATTTTTAGCCGAAACAATCTAAACAAGAATCGAAGATCTCGTCGATAGTAGTGCAATGGAAGAAAGACAGACGAAAACGGACGTCGGATGAAGAAGTTATGAATTTCTAACGGAGTTTTCCTGTCCCGGCCTACTAAAAATAAATAATAAAAAATAAAGTCAAAATTAGCTGACGGAGTCTAAACGAAATTTGTAGAGTATAGTCTCACCTACGCGTGGATATAAAGAACGTCAAAAACGGAGCTCGTATGCGAAAGTTACGCAATTTTAAGTTTGATTAATCGAGTTACGCTAAGCGTAATGGAGTACGCCCAGCGTACCCGTATGCATGAACTGAAATGGGCCACGTCGACATGACCCAACACTCGAGTACCCGGGATCGTAAGCAATGACGTCTTCGGCCTGATCCGAAGTGTACGCCCAGCGTAACCGAAGTACGCCCAGCGTACTCCGAGATTACGCCCAGCGTAAATCGAGTTTCAGCACCCTATAAATAGAAGTCGAGGGCAGCCGAGTTTCTTTGCTCAAATTCTTCTTTCTCTCTCCTTTTGCATCGTTTTGCGTGCAATTTATACCCCGAAGCGCCGGTATCATTCCCGATACCTGAAGCAAGTCCCGAAGCCCCGAAGATCCCGAGAAACAGAGTTACCGAGCCGAAGCCCTGCCCGCGAGAAGCCCGGTTTTTGTGAAGATCTCCCGGTTTCACTGAAGAATACTACTTTTACAAGTCGTAGTGCTGCTCGACCATCTTTTGATCAAGTGAGTGTGTAGTTACTTTCTTCTAACACATAAATATGAAGTATTTTCTATGAAATACGTGCTATGTGTTATGTATGTTTGTTTATTTGAGATGGGTGTGGAATGGATGTTTTATACAGGTTTTTAAATGATTTAAACCGTATATGTATTTTATATCTACAAATATGTTGGGTAGAACATGGGTAGATGAAATACCTGGTGACTATGAGACGTAGTGCCTATTGTGTAAACCCTGGTGACTATGAGACGTAGTGCTTATTGTGTAAACCCTGGTGACTATGAGACGTAGTGCCTATTGTGTAAACCCTGGTGACTATGTGACGTAGTGCCTATTGTGTAAACCCTGGTGACTATGTGACGTAGTGTCTATTGTATAAACCCTAGTGACTATGAGACGTAGTGCCTATTGTAGAAACCCTGGCGACTATGCGACGTAGTGCCTATTGAGTAAATGTTGGCGACTATGCGACGTAGTGCCTATTGAGTAAATGTTGGCGACTATGCGACGTAGTGCCTATTATGTAAACCCTGGCGACTATAAGACGTAGTGCCTATTGAGTAAATGTTGGCGACTATGCGACGTAGTGCCTATTATGTAAACCCTGGCGACTATGCGACGTAGTGCCTATTGTGTAAGCCCTGGCGACTATGTAACGTAGTGCCTGTTGTATAAACCGTGGTAGAAAATGGACTTTGTGCCAATTCCTTAGGTCAATCCTTAGGAATGAATGAATGGAGGATAATTTACTCTTAGGGTAAAGCTTTAAGAAACAAAGGAGATAATGGGGATGGGTAATTAGGGTTGATTGTTTGATGATTGAATATGGTAATTATATAATTGTGGGTTGAAAACCCTATATGCTCACCAGGCTCCCAAGCCTGACCCACTCAGTTTTCTTTGTATTACAGGTAATGGCACAAGAGTATAAGTTGGTGGACTTGATGAGAGATGTTGGATAATAGACCAATAGTTGTAAATAACTGTTGTAAGGTCTGTATTGTACTGTTTATGCTTTTGGTCTGTATCGGAACATGACATCCCGAGGTTTTATTATTTAATGAAAATACATTCTCTTTGAGAAACGTTTTGATAAATTTTATCATATTTTGTTTTGGGAACAAATTCCGAAACTCTTTTAATCAAAAGATTACTCTGATTTTATAAAACAAAGCATAAACAAATCGGCCTTTTCTGGCCGTGAAATTGGGGATGTCACAGTTGGTATCAGAGCATTAGTTTAAGCGAACTAGGAATTTGTAGGATTTCTAGACTTAAACTTAGAATGCTAAGCGAAGATTGTGAGATGAGTGTCTACCATATTTTAGACACGAGCACTAGTATATTTTAGGAAAGATGCCTAAAATGCTTTTATGTGCTAAATGCTATATGTTTTCCATATATGATATTGTTTGTTCGGATCTATGGTCTGTTGCCGACCGGATCTGGAAACCTTATGTGTTTAGGATTATAAGCGTACGAATACGATATTAGAACTAGCATGTAAACGTTTCGGAGTGATAAGGATGATTTGAATATCTATCGTGAATGAGGATCTAATTTCACCTTATTCGGTGTATAGATCAAAAATGGTGAGAACAAGGAGTGGAGTTGGAAACGTGGACGAAAACAGGAATCAAATACCTGTGATAGAGCAAGTAGCTGTTGCAGCAGCAGCACCTGAGCCAATGACTATGGCTGGAGTGCAATTGATGATTCAGACGATGCTGGATCGTCAGATGGAGGAAACCAGACGTCTGCTTAGGCAGAATCGCGAAGAACTGTCAATTCAAGTCGAAGAGCCCGAAGTAAATGGAGGGCAGTCTGAAGGAGGAAACTTTAGTGGGATCATTGGTCAAGACGACCCACCGATTGTTAGGCAGAATAACCAGGATAGAGGAAACGATGGAAGAGGATGCAAGTACAAGGACTTCATGGCATCCAAACCCCCATGTCTTTCTGGAAACCCAACGCCGGTACAAGTTATGGACTGGATCTCCGAGATGGAGACGATGTTTGAAAGTTGCGAATGCAGCAACAAGCAGAAGACTGCTCTTGCGATTCCTCTGTTAAAATCAGGAGTATTGAGTTGGTAGAAGCTACTTGCTGGTTCTATGCCTAAGGGGGAAGCTAGCAAGATGTCGTGGGAGGATTTTGTGGTGCAACTAAAGATGCAATACTGCTCTAAGCAGGATCTTCTGGAAATCAACAATGAGTTTCAGAATCTGAAATAGGGAAAATTGAGCGTCACTGAATACGCTACAAGTTTTACGGAGAAGATGAAGCTTATCCCATATCTACTTCCAACAGAACTTTCCAAGGTCAACAAGTTTGCCCACGGATTACCAGCGGACTTTGGTCCAGTGGTCAAACAAGCAACCACTTTGAAAGCCGCCATCTGGGCTGCTAGGAATATCGAGACTCAGATAAGAGAGAAGTGTCTGGAGAGAGCTGAAGTGGGAGAGAAAAGGAAGCATGAGGGATCTCCAATGATCAACAAAGAAAGAAAATTCTCGAAATATGGAGGAATAGATGAAGCTAAGTGGTGCGAGAAATGTAAAAAGAAACACTTCGAGAGGTGTAGCGAGGAGATGACCTGCTACAAATGTGGGAAGACAGGGCATTATGCCAACAAGTGTGCAGCTAACAAGAAGATGTGCTACAGATGTAACGAGGAAGGGCATATTTCTAGAGACTGCCCAAAGAAAAACGCACCGCCACAGCCAAGGGCATTCCACATGATCCTCGACGAAGCGAATCAAGGATAAGGATTTTATATCCAAGGATCAAGTTATGAAGTAGTAGTGTGAATAGTAACTTATGATGTAGCCTGTTAGAGGCATAGAATAGGGTGAACTTGAATTTTTGTGTAATCGTTTCAAGTTATAATATAAACCCTGGTTTTGATATCTATGTGATATTTATTGTTTTAATACCTGATGTGTTAAATGATTGTGTGATTTTTGTATAGTGACTTGGTTAGACTGAGAGACAATACTTGGGACGAGTATGAGTAGGTGTGAATGGTAGTAGAGATCTATGCTACCGAAAGCACAGGACTCGCACTTGGATTAGGGAAAGTTGCAAGGTTACCAAGAAACTAGTAATTGATTCCGTTTATTCAAGTAAGTCACGACCATTGTTTCGGTAATGACTAGTAAGATGGTTGTTATTCCGACCCTAGTGGTCATATCAAATTGAGTCCGACTACGATGAGTTGTTACGTGGTTCCAAGAACCAAGTTCGAAGTTGCATCTGACTGAGGTCAGAAGATTGAAATCAATGCGACCGATAGCATCGCGCTCGTTGTTAAATAGGTTCGTAGCTAGAAATGCTACAAGTTAACATGTGATTATATCACATTAGGATATGAAGGAAGGTATATTCCATTTCGGAACTTGACTCTAAGAGACTTGAGTCTAAGCGTTGTATTATACGATGAAAGGTCATTACAACATGACCCATCGGTCTGTTACAATAGATAAAGGAAAGTATTTATCCTAAGAAGAAGAAGG